AGGCATAAAAGTATAAGAGACAAGTGTAACACCCCGAACTTGCGGTAGAAGGTTCGGTAGGAAAACTTAGGAGCAAATCCAGCTTAACTGCGATGGGAATCCTGTCAGACTAGGTAATAGCCTAACGGGCCTTATGATCAGGCCTAGGATTTCTAATGACGTGGGAAAAGGGAAGGAAACCCTAGTTATTCTTTGGGAAGGAAGGAAAAACATGGTGGCTAGCTAGACGGGCTTGGCCCGTGTAGTAAGGAGGTGGAGAAAAATAAGGAAAGTGAATATTCTCTAGGAGGATTTTCGTGGGGGTATAAATAGGGAGCTGGAGAGCTCATATTTTACACACCAACAATCATTTTTCTCTTCCAGAGCCAAAGGGAAATGCTTAGGAAGGAAGAATCGGAGGAGTTTGAGAAGGAACTCAGCACCCCAGCCCCACGGTAGAGAAGATTCACGGTTGAGGAAAGGCGTGATCCGTACCTAATCCTTCCTTTATTGTCCTTTATTATTATTGCTTTCATAGGGTATTTTAGTAGTATGGGGTCATAGGCTAGGTAGTGGTCGAGGTAACTCGATCTGGATAAGGGATCCGGATGTGAGGCTCGACAAGTGTAGGGCAGTGGCCGAGTTCCACTCAACTACGGTCGAGCACGAAAAGGGTCTCATGGATGGCGAGAGGCTGCGATACGGGAATGATGAGGGATCGGGTCACGTATCGGCAGGCACCCGGTCTAGTAACGGTAGCAATTGCCTAGTTGAAAGAGAACATCGGTATGGCCTCGGGGTGCCTCGATGAGTGGCTCATTCCAGACTATAGTGACGTCTAGGTAGGGCATCAGTATGGCCTCGGGTACCTCGATGATGCCTTAACTGAGAACTAACACAAGGTAGCATATCATGGTATGGAACGTGCCACGTTACGATAAGACAGCGAGCCGTGCCACACGAAGGTACTATGTCGCGCCACGATAAGAGATCGTGCTGCAACATCATGGTATCGTGCCGCGGATCGATAGACATCGTGCCCCGTCTCGAGAGGGCTCGATATGGTTCGGTGATGCCTCACAGAGCCGCGGTGGAGTGTCGGTGTTGGTAGCAATCATGCTGCAACTCGATAGAGTATCAAGGTGGGTATGGCGGCAAGTTTGGAGATGGGCAGCAAGGGCGTATTGGCTAAAACCCAATACATACCCAACATAAGTTGTACCATGGATTCGCAGGACCTTGGTAGAGGGACCAAGGTGGCCTGGGTCCGCATTACACGAGACCGGACTAGCAGACGAAGGCTTGACCAAACGGTACGGTGGCAGAGCATCCGGTCAGACCGCAGAGGGCCTGACTATGGACTCGTAGGTGAAGTCAGGCAGATAGCTTGACATGGTCTGGGGCCTTGGTAAGTTATGTAGACCTATTCACGTTGGGCTATTGATTAGGATACACGCGTTAAGAGTATTTCGGGCGTGGGATTCGACCTTAGCCTCGAGGAAGCTTGGCATGGTTCCGACCAAAGCCGAGGATGACTCGTTGTTTGGTGATTGTGGGAAAGAGGTCCGTAGAGAGTTTATGGCCCGGATCACATTTCATAATGTTAGGTGTTAGGGAGTGAGTCTTGCATTGGCAAAGCTATACCCTTCCTAGAGAGCTACCTTGGGCCAAATGAGAAGTTAGTCCAAGAAGCTGAAAGGTAGAAAGACTAACTGATCATTAAACCTTGGAAGTAGAGTTATGGTAGAGCTACCGCTCCACGGAAATAATTCTACCCGATGGTTCGCTTGTTTGTAGGGTCCGGCAGTCTATTAGAAATTGTTGTGAACCAGGCGGGAAACTACTAAGGTGACCTAATTGTTATTCTAGTACTACCTTAGCTACCCCGTCGCATGGATGTAAGTAAGGTCTAGCCAGAGAAGAGTCAGAGAGGTTTGACGAACTCAAGTTAGATGGCTTGCAACCAAGGGGATAGAGGATAGACATGGTATCGCTTGGACTATCTGCGGTACAAATTGGTGCCATGAACTATCCACAATTAATGGATAATCTTATGTGTGAATTTATGCAGGGACGGCTACCGTATGGCCATAGATGTGTCATGGGTAACGCATTGGGATAGCCATGCTTACCTGGGGTCGACCATACGGGGCAAATGTATTGTTTGAAATGCTTCGGCTATTGCTTGAGAACGTAGAAGAGTGGATTAGGTTAAAATGGAGTAGAAAAATGATTGTGAACCTTAGAAGAGTCTAGAGTAGTAATGCATACGAATTGGTAGGAGAGTAGGTTCACAATGCCACTGTTAATAATTGCATAGGGGCGGTTGTATGGGCAGCCATCACCGACTTATTTGTGTTTTGCCTGGAAAAGTGGAACGAAGACTTGGCAGTCCTAAGGGGCTGCCCGGGAGGGCCTGGAGGGGTCAGAGTGGTGAAGGTTCGCTGACGGGCAACCACGTTGGGCCCAAGGCCAAGAGTGTGTGTGGGCCCGAAGCCTAGAGTGTGTATGTGAAAGTACTCTGAATGTGTCTGGTGGGACACCTTCATACTACTAAGAGTTGGTAACTAGGAGGTAGCCGGTGGGCTTGCCTAGTTACGAGTGTGAGTGGTAAGAGCTAGCAAGCGGTGGACTTACCTAGTTGCTAACGAGTGTTGTGGCACATGGTGCTAAGGCATCATGTGGGAGTAATAGTTTTCAAAGGTAGTTAGGTTATATTAGGTCGTGAGACGGAGAAGACCATCTTACTGAGTATTCAATACTCACCCCCTTACCAGGCCTGTTGGACAGGAGATCCGGTGGTCAGATGGCTCATAGGAAGGGAAGGCAGGAGGATGCAGCTGGATGCGGTAGAGACTTTCCCAAGGCGTGGTTTAAAGTTCCTTACGTTGTATTTTCACCGCACAATGTAATAAAGAAATTTTAGAGTAATGAGATAACTGATTTGACTAGCATTTTGCAGTGAAATTCATAGTCCCTAAAGCGGGTGTTACAACAAGCTAATAAAAAACGCAAAAAGCTGATTTTCAAATCTGTATTCATAGTCCCTAAAGCAAGTGTTACAACA